CTGCTGAGAAATAAAGCCGTGAACGCTTCCTTGGCCTTTGGCATTTGAGGACTCCGAGTTGTTTCCGTTCAACTGAATAGCAGAGATGGATACATTTTCTTGGGTGGTCACAGTTGATGATTCCGAGTTGTTTCCGTTCAACTGAGTAGCAGAGATGGATACATTTTCTTGGGCGGTCACAGTTGATGATTCCGCCGATGGGTCTTCTTCTTCCGAGTCTTGTACAACATCTGTCGTACTGTATTCTCTCAGTGACACACAATGTGCACACACTTGAATTCTCTCTCTAACACACAGTCAACAAACACCACTACTTTTTTCTCTCTAAGAGACACCGCACCCAGTCCTCTCTTGTTTTATACCTAGGTATATCAGGGCACAAATGTACATTTTGTTTTCTTTGTCCCCAAGGAATGAAAATTATTAATTCCGATGAGGGCAGAATTGTAAATTTAAGGGTAAACTAGGGTTTATATTATTTTTTTTCTAGTTGGTTACTCACACACACTTGTCTCTTCTGAGACTTGAACTCCTGACCTCTCTTTGGGAGGTAAGAGCTGATACCGCTAGGCCACTGGTCCGTTAATAACTAAGGTTTATATTATGTCTAACTATTGCCATATTCTATTCTATACAAATCCTTGCATATTCGGAGTTCACTTACTACACCGTTTTGGGAGCTAAGAAATGTTTGGTTCATCCAAACAAGCCCTCTTGTCCTTTTTTTCTTTAGCTCTTTCTTATTTTTAATTGTTTCAATTCTCATTTATTCTGTTTAGTAAAATAAAGTGTGTGGGACACACTTATAGGAGCAAAATGTAGGGAAAAAAAAGGTTTTTAATAAAAAATGATAACTTATATAATTAATATTTGTTATTAACTCATGAAGCAATTAATGATTAAAATAAATACATTGGAGAGTTTTGTTTTGTTTTGTTTAAAATCCAACATTCAAGAGATAACTTCATGATTTCCTTTGTTGGTTCTCAAATATGGTATTAGTTGCTTATTGTTTTGAGGTCCTAGTGCACTAAATCCTCTCTAACTTCAAAGTGTTGCATAATACTTTTATTTCTTTCTTTTATTTGTAGTTAAAAAAAAAAAATGAAGTGCATTATAAAGAATTAATTAGTCAATTGGATATTCAAGAGACAAAAATTCGTTAATTTGATAAGTAATTTTGAATAATTCGCTTAAATTTTTTATGAACTTCTTTTCCCTTTCAGCAATTCGTGGTTAAGGAATGAAATAAAATTATATAAATTTTTATTAAAAAAAAGGCAGTTATGAAAATTTTGACGCATTAAGAAATTTAGCACAACCTAATTACACCCTTCAAAATCATACTTATTAATAACAAATTCTCAAAACAAATCATGTCATTTTTGCAATAAATATGTTAAATGTTATTATTAAAAAAAAAAGGATATCACTGAAGATTACGAAATAAATCGCAAAAATTTAGCTGAAAGATTGAAGGAAGAAAGGAGTGATAGCACATAGTAGGACACTGCAAAGGCATTATTAGTGCCTATTTATGTAGTTGGAAGGTGTAGTCACGTCTTCTCAGCATAGCCTTGGAGGTTCCATTCTTTTGAGGTCAGTGAGTTTATGAGTATTTATTTTGTAAAAGTACAGTAGGTCGATACGGAGTATTTGTTAAAATAAAAAATGCAATTATGATAAAGAGAAAAACACTTGGCCTACCCTCCACCATCCACATTTTGATAGGACACTGTGTAAGAAACCTGTTGTGTATAGGTGCATCATGATCCTTTCTTACACCCAGGCACGTGAATAAAGCTGGGTGCACTCCTAGCAACTTTTCTTGGGAAAAGTAAATAAAAAATTTTCCTATTTTTTTAAATATGTAATTTTATGGTCCAAAACATTAATGTTTCTAAATAATACTCCGGAGCTAAATGCTACACAAACAAATATACTACCTCCAATGTCCATTTTTTTAACAAAGGTATCTCCCTTAAATGTGAAATCCATTCACAAGGTTTTGGCACCAAATTGGGACATAACTCACAATTACAACTACTCTGATCTTGGGAGAATTTGGGTATTGTGAAATCCCAATCAACTTGAATTTTTTGTTATTGATGCTAATAGACAGGCAATTCATTGCAAAATAACAGTTATAGGAGAGAGCATTACCTTTTTTACCACCTTCATATATGCTTCTAACTGTGTAATTGAAAGGCAGTTTCTCTCGGAGAATTTGATCTACCATGCAGGCCTTTGCAGTTCCTTCCCTTGGCTACTAATAGGGGACTTTAATGTCATACCCAATGTTGGTGAGTCACATGGAGGTTCAATGAAGTGGAGCCCTGCAGTGATTGACTTCAAGGAGTGCCTGCAACATGCTGAATTGGAGGACCTCAAGAATAATGGGATCTTATATTCTTGGTGCAATAGAAGTTTGGGTTCTGCCTGTATTACAAAGAAACTAGATCGAGCCCTTGCCAACCAAATGTGGTCATCTATATTCCCACTTTCTAAATACACTTTCCTCATACATGGTATCTCTGACCATAGTCCAATCTTGGTTACCATGGATTTGCAAATTCCAAGGAGATGCATCCCTTTCAGATTCTTCAATGTTTGGGCCACACATCAAGATTTTGCAGCTTCAGTCCACAATGTATGGAAAACTTTCATAAGAGGGACTGCAATGTTCCAGGTGGTCCAAAAGCTTAAGCTCCTCAAGCCAGTCCTCAAAGAATTGTCCAGGAAACATTTCCTACAATTGGATTCAAAGCTCCTTGCAGTCAAGGCTGAACTAGATGCATGCCAACTTGACCTTGATTACTCTCCCACTGATATCACTTTTAGAGAAATGGAGAGGTCACTCATCTCAGAGTTTTTAAAACTTACAAATCACCAAGAGGACATGCTAAGGCAAAAGTCTAGAATGACTTGATTGAAGCTTGGTGACTCCAATTCAGCATATTTCCACAAGTCATTATCCTCTAGAAACAACAAGAAGAAGATCTTATCCATCACAACTGAGTCAGGCCAAATCATTGACAGCAAGGATGGAATTATAACAGAAATTGTGGGGCACTTCAAAAGGCTCTTCTCCTCCAACAACTCACTCCATTTTTGAATTGTAGCCATTCATCAATGCACAGGTCCCAACTTATCTAAAGGCCCTCCTTGATGAAATTCCATCCCCATTGGAAATACAAAACTGCATGTTCAAGCTCAATAGAGACAAAGCTCCAGGGCCTGATGGCTATAATGCAGCCTTTTTTCAAAAAAGTTGGGGAACAGTGGGTAGATCAGTCACTAGAGCTATCACTGAGTTTTTCAACAATGGGAAACTACTCTCGGAAGCAAACAACACTTACATCTCACTTATCCCTAAATGCCAAAGCCCTTCATCAATGCATGATTACAGGCCAATCTCCTGCTGTAACACAGTGTACAAGTGCATTGCAAAATTGTTTGCAGTCGAGCTCCAATCCACTCTTCCTCACATCATTGACAGCTCTCAATCCTTCATCCAAGGAAAGAAGATCACTGATCCAATACTCCTGGCTCATGAACTTTTAAGAGGGTACCACAGAGACAATGGACCTGCCAAGTGTGCAATTAAGATTGACCTAATGAAAGCCTTTGATTCTGTCAAGTGAGATTTCATCCTAAGTTGCTTAACACTTCACTAGTTTCCAAGTAAATTCATCTCCCTCATCCAAGCCTGCATCTCATCACTTTCATTTACCGTTGCAATTAATGGTGAATTCAAAGGTTATTTCAAGGGTAAGAGAGGGTTAAGACGGGGAAACCCTATCTCCCCCTTCCTCTTTGTAATAATGATGAATGCACTATCCTCTATCATTAACAATTTTGTTAGCAGGGTTGGGGCTTTCAGGTACCACTAGAGATGTGGAGAACTCAAGATCACTCACCTTTCATATGCAGATGACCTTCTCCTCTTTTGCCATGGAGATATCACCTCAGTGTCAGTGATCAAATCAGCATTGGACTACTTCAGCACCATGTCTGGCCTTGACATTAACACCACCAAAAGCACAATCTTTTTATCAAGAGTGGACCAGCACACTCATCAACTAATCACATCTCTTCTTGGAATTCAAGCTGGATCACTTCCAGTTAAGTACCTTGGGGTACCACTGATCTCCACCAACCTCAAGTCCTCTCACTGCAGCCTCTTAATTGAGAAGATCACCAAAAGAATCACACATTGGTCCTTCAGATCACTCTCCTATGCTGGAAGGCTTCAACTCATCAAGGCTGTCCTAGTTTCAACACAAATCTATTGGTCCAGCATTTTAATCCTTCCCAAAGCAGTGATCAATGAGCTCAACAAGATTTTCAGGTCTTTTATTTGTTCAGGTCCAGAAATGAAATCCACTGGAGCTAAAGTCAATTGGGGCAAGGTTTGTAGAGCAAAGGAAGCTGGGGGGCTGGGAATTCCTAACTTGGAACTGTCAAACAAGGCTGGGATTATGAGGTTCATTTGGGACTTGCAAACAGACAGCAATGCTAGACTTTGGATTAAATGGTGCAACACTCATCTAATCAAATCAAAGAATCTGTGGGAGATCAGCATACCTCATTCTTGTTCTTGGAGCTGGAGAAAAATGTTACAGCTTAGACATCCAACAAGATTACTCTTAAAGCATTCCATTGGAAATGGCTCAGATACTTTATTCTGGTTGGACAACTGGGCTCCAGGAGGTCCACTATGCACCAGGTTCCCCATTGCAATCCTTTCACAGACTAATATCAATCAAGCTACTACTCTAGATAAGTTCATTATGGGTTCATCTTAGTTTTTCCTCAACATGCAGCCCCTAGTTCCTTCAAGGAGAGACAGAAAGAGATAGATTGCATCTTCAACAGGTTTATTCAGTCTTAGCCACACAACTTCTTTCCTCGCAGGCCCTCAACCCTCAGTTCAATGGTACAATATCGTGTGGTGTTCACCAATTATCCCCAGAATGAAGCTACACCTATGGTTAGCAATGCTGGCAAGATTGCCAACTCTTGACAGCAGATCAATGGGAAACCATCCAAACATATGTCCCCTCTGTATGTCTCATCCTGAGTCACATGACCACATCTTCCTTAATTGCTGTTTTACCTCCCTAATTTGGAGATTCATTAAAGATCGATGCCAATTCTACACTTCAATTACAAATTGGGAGGAGCTCATACAGTATATTAGCGTGAGATGGAAAGCAAAATCGGTTCCTAATCTTCTAAGAAAAGTTTGCTTCTCAGCCATGATGTATCATACCTGGGAAGAAAGAAACAAGAGGATTTTCAAAAAGAAGAAATCATCACAGAAGGTTGTTCTTGCTCGAATCTGCTCCACCATCACTACAATTCTAATGTTGGGCTTTCTTCAAGACTGCTCTACGGCTAGGAAAATTCTTTCAGAATGGAATCTATCCCTCTCTTGCTGCAGACCCCCTCCTCGTCCGCCGGATACTACCAATCGCCGGCTCAATGCCGGAGCCTAAGTTCACCGGACTGAATGGCTAATAACCACCATTAACAGTAGGCAGTTAATTTTGGTTTTCAGTTATTGTGCAAGGTTAGGTGTTATTATTTGGGCCTGGTCCCTCTTGTTTTGCCCTCACTGGGCTTGTAATCCCTTACGGGCTGTTTGGCCAAAGGCCCACATTGTAATTATTTTTACATTTATAATATTTGCTTAAAATTCCAAAAAAAAAAAAAAATGTCCATTTTTTAAAAGAATGAATTTTAATATATATATTTTATTATATTATAAATGAGTAAATTATTAAATTATCTATAATGGATTTATATGGATGTAGTGGTTTACGTTTTATTAATTTAATGTAAGAATATTAAATTAAGAGTTTGAATTAAAATTCATTCATATTTAACCTTTTCATACTTGGTGCATTAATTTAAATTATTTAATGAAAACAAATGTTGATTTTATCTTTTTTAGTATATTGATATATTTTGGTGAGGCTATGTTTTTTAATTTGAGAGTTTGAATTAAAATTCATCCATTGATACTCACAATTGCTTAAAAAAAAATTAATAATAATAATAATAATAAAATAAATTATTACTGGCCTGGCCAACTATTAATGATTCACAACCATCTAATAAATTTTCTTTAGCTTAATGAAACAAATTTCAAGTTGTGATAATTCTGTTTAAAGTTTACACCTCCACCCTTTCCTAACCACCTCAATCCGGACACTTCTGCCGAATAAATCATACTCATGTCGTCCGAATGAATCATACCCATGTCGGTCTAATATCAATATTCGTTAGACACTCCTTATACATACGACACTTTATATACCTATCCATAAATAGAAACTAAATTTTTATTATTTTAGACACTTGCCGACACTTTTTGGACACTTAAGCAAACACTTTAATATTTCTAATACAAATTTATCGAAAATAATGTAAACACATTTTAAAGTGTTAAATTTATTTCTTTAAAAAAAATTATTATTCCGTATTATACACATGGATCATAAGTGAAACATAACATAATATTAGTTCATTTAAAACAAAAATACTGTTAGGACAAAGTAGTGAATAACTATACATGTAATATATTCAAACCTTTCTTTTGGAGGTCTCAGTACAAATTTACGACCACATCGTCTAGATGCATGAATAATCATCAGTAACACTAAATTTTTAATGATCTCTTATTGTGGATGAAAGCTATCAACATGTGTGTGTGTGTGTGTGTGTGTGCAGGCACAAATTACCAATTCAGTGTTTTAAGATACCTAAGATTTCCATTGTTCGACATGAACTTACTGAAGAAAGTTAAATGGCAACCATAGCCGGAGTTATTTTTCACAAACCCATATTTACAAGTCAGATAAAAGAAGCACAAGTATCACCAAAAGGCTACAATATGCAGTTCTTGAACAACCCTAAAGAGTCCTAGCTCCAGTATCCGGTTCCATTTCTTTGGCATATCGGAATGATCGGCAGATGGCCGAGCCCAACCAACTCAAGTAGAGTGGTCCATTCAATCCACTTCTGCAACCCACACTACTGACTACACATTGGAAGAAGGGGTGAGTTTAACCAAACCAAGCAAATACATTAAGGGGAAAATTAGTAAGCAAAACTATTAATTCAATCCTTACAGCCATATCACATGAAAAGACATCATGAAAACCTATAAAGCAGAATCATCCTTTCAATACTCAGCTGTGCAGCTAGAAAGTTACATTCAGGTTTCAAACAACAAAGAACGGGTAAACAATTATTTCTTGCAAATGCAATAAACAAGCAGACCCAGACAATTGTAAGATCAGAAATTGGGTCACATTAATATGTGGTCCATGAAAAATACAAAATAATAAAAATGACGCATGACTACCCCCGCGGGGGGGGGGGGGGGCGGCGGTGAGGGGGAGGAGTTTCTCATAGCAATGGCTCGAAAATCAAAGTGGCGTCCCGCTATAGCACGGCATGCATCTCTGGCTTTCTTTCAAGCCCCCCTACCGGCTAGACCAAGGTCTCATGATGACAATCTTGAAGGAAGAAGTGAAGCACCGCCGGTGGTACCTCCTCGTTCCATGCACGAGTCTCACAAAGTTTCATCCCCATTGACATTTCAACCCCCCCCCCCCCCCCCCCCCCCCCGCCTCCCCCCTTTCTCTTGGCACCAGAACAATGTTGATGGTAGACACGTTCTTAGCTAAGAAGGACGAACAAGCCTAAAATCGGAAAGAATCCGTGTGGAAGACCACTGGACACCCCCGACACGTGTTTGACCCGCCAAAAAACTTGTATTTTTTAAATTTTATAAATATTCAAACACGGACATGCCGTCCGGCACGCCTGTGCCATTCTCGAAGGTTTTTATTTTTTATTTTTTTCAAGGAAGGCATTCTTGGGGTTTTTTAAGAAAGTTTTAGAAATAAAGCCGGGTTGAAGTGTAAATATGAGGATTACATAATTACTTAAAAGCTGTTTTTTATAAAAATAATTTTATATTAAAAAAATCAAATTTTTGTGCTTACATTTTAGTTCAAAGGTTCAAAAGACTCTCTTGTTCTCCCACCAAGCAAACTTCGTTGTCGATGGATGGCTCTTCTTCTACTTCTTCACAAATCCTAGATACTTCTTTTTTTGTCCTTTCACAACAAAATTCTCTTTTGCGTCTCCTTTCCTTTTTACTCTTGTTTCCACGACCTTATTCACTTCTATTGATTCTTACCTTTATTTTAAACTAAGCCCTAATTATTTTTTAACAAAATACGAAACCTCTTTGTTTCTTGGTTTTTTTCTCTTTCTTAACCCTCTTTGTATCATTCTTTCTTTTTCCAGCAAAACACAATTTTTTTTCATTATTAGGTTGATAAATAATATTACTCTTAATTTATTGAAGTACACCATCCTATATATCTTCTTTACGATATGGATGAACCAAAAGTGGGTGAGCATTCACTACAGTTGTATATTATCTTCTTGATTCATTATAGCAAAATTTGGATAAACCATAAAAAATTTGTGTTGGACATGTTGTTTGAGTGTGGTGTGATTGGATCTTCACGTTTGTGAAGTAGTTTGTTTCCGCTGTGACCGAAGTGGAATTAAATTACCAACAAGTGTTATCAAAGCCGAAGGTTCGTTGTGGTGAGCTTGTCAAAGCCGAATGTTTGTCTTGAAGATTGCTATTAGAGCCGAAGCTTCGTCCTGCAACATTCGACAGTTGGTTGATAGATATCTACAAAACACAATAACAAAAAATAAAAGAAGGCAGGATGACGATTGAGCTGGTGATCTTTAGGCAATGTGGAGAATTTTCGCCAAGGTGGAGATTTGTTGTGTATGTCTCAAATTCTTATTGGGTTGGGTAAAGTTCTATTGGTTTAGGTATGTATTCTTATTGGGTTGGGTAAAGTTCTATTAGTTTAGGTATGATGTACTTGATTTCAAGTAGTTGCTTTCCTTGCCCAACAAGAATATGTATTACTTGTTTTTTTTTTTTTTTTTCTGAAAAGTCTCAAGCAAATTGAATGATACACCAATTTATTAAGATCAGATGGAAAAGATACCTCAATTTTCAAGCCTCTGAGCAATAATTTCCCAAGCCTCTTCGAAAGTAGTAAACTCATCTAAGAAAATATTACAATGTCAATTCTTCAAAGAACACGAAATAGAGACACCAAATTCTCAGGAGCAGAACCAGTTGTTACCTACAATCTCAAGCAAACTAATTGATATACCAATTTATTAGGATCAGACGGAAAGGTTACCTGCTTCTTCGAGCAAATTGAAACCCCGGCCACGATAAAAACCCCTAACAGTACTTTTCCAACCTCCTTGAGCACGAGGAAACATGGTTAAGAAAACAACACAATGTCAATTCTACAGTTCAAACATTCATTGAATTGAACATATCAACTCTAAAGTCTACACAAGTAAACAAACCTTCACTAAAAAGGTCTGACGTCAGCAATGAATCCACTTTGCCATCTGGGCTTTCCTCCGTGCTAAGGGAATGGTCCTACATAAGCAACACTAGTCATGCCCTGAGAAAAGACTTCTTTCTCTGCCTTCCCAATGTACATGACAACCCTTATTCAGTTCCTTTTCCCCCCTCCCTTGAATTTCTAAATCAAATGATTACCCAGTGTGGTTCCTCAAATCAAGATCATGTTCTCATCTGTGGCAATATGAGCTTTTACCGCAGCACTGACCAACCAACCCAGCACCTCTTCTATTTTGAATCAATATCAGGAAACATATATATACATTATATCAACATGGTTTTCTATTGAAAATTTGTTATGATACTACAAATTCCATCTCAATTCATCTAGTTTAGCTACTGTACTATAAGAGTTTTCTGGAGTTGGAGTATGTCTGCCATCACAATGAGGCATCTCATCTCTGGTATGTATATGCATCTTTTCTGATGTGTCTGCCATATAGTATATAATATTCCAAAAGTTGAGAAAACATGCACACATAATATTTGCCCCCTTCAACCGACTTGAGATCATACCATTTGAACTAATGCCCATTGGTGGATGTCCTCTTAAATATTAAAATATTAGAAACCATGGCTTTCTACTCTAACTCCTTGATATACACAATACAGTTGGTTAATGCATTGATTGATGTTGTAGACTATTAATAATTCTCAACAGATTTGATTCTAGTCAAAAACTTTTTCTTGAGACCTCGGAGTAGTAAAGAAAAGACTCTCTAGAATCAATGCCAAAGCAGATTCATTTCTAGTTGAGGTTCTTTTCTCTAAATATCAAAATATATGAGAAATGATTCTCTATAATCTATGCCAATACAATAAGTAAATAATTTTATTTATTATTATTATTTTTATATAAGTGAATAAAGTCTATTTCAAAGAATTAGAAGGTTTTGGTTCTCAAGAAGAACTGTTTCATGAATAACATTGTGCTTGTTTTACTCTTGTACAGGGGTTTATTTGTCTTCTCTCAACCACCGTTAACAACATATTCACAATTACTGGGAATGCACATTGTTTGGTTTTGAACGCAGACATTGTCATGGACTCATGGCATGGCATGGCATGGCATTAAACTGGAAATAGCAAAGGCTGCATATCTGCAGAAGGCACAAGGGGCTTGGCAGCCCAATACAAGGAAATTATTAGATCAATGGTCTGGAATTATGTGGTCGTGGGTAAGCACAATTTTTTTTTTTTTTTTTTGGGTAAACTAGGGGAAGGAGGATTTGAATATGGGCACACCCACTCGGAAAGCTAGGCACTCTACCTATTAGGTCACCACTAAGCCAATCACAAGTATCTTGGCTCAGAGCATGCTCCATCTCATGCTATTTAGTTTTTGGGCCTGATCCTAGGTCATTGTAGTATGGGCTTCTGTTGAAGCATTTATTTCTTTTCTTTTCTTTTCTTGGGCCTAGTCCTTGGACATGTACAAATCTTTTCTTATTTCTATTCAAAATAAATAAATAAATGTGACAGACTGAGACAACTTGTGATTGACCTGGACCACATAGTCCGAACTACATAAGAATTTATCACATAAAAGTCCCTTGTGCCTAGTCGGCTTACACGAATCACCATAACAACATTTTTCACATGGATAATGATTTGGAATCTGAAAGTCGGGAAGTCCGTCTGATTTATGTGAGTGAGGGTTAACATCATCATAATGTCATTAATATCTATGTCATGATGACATCAGTCTTTAAAATTAGTCGAATGTGTCTGATTATTGGACTTCTATCATTACTCTTTATATATATATATATTATATTTCCGGCTGTATAAATGTGTGTTTGATATCTATGCCTTAATCAACAGATTGGATAACTATTTATGAGCTAACATGCTTAAAAATTGAAGTTATTTGTGTCACCTTTCTGGCTTTATGCACTATTCTCTTCTTACTGTTCATGTACATGCGCCAGGAATTTTAAAGCAGTGTGTAATAAAAGTGTTAGCATGGACCAATTCAAGTTCGTGTAATAAAAGTGTTATTATGTGCCTCATTCCAATCTCATCAATTGTGTGTCTAAGACTTGACACGTTTCTTGTTCAATTCTTTATACACGTGTCACGTGTGGCCTATGCCACGTGAGAAAAAGTATACGTGGAGTTGAATGCATATATATTTAATGCATAGGAAGAATATATGTGTGATCATAATTTTGGGATTATATTAATTCAACCATTTAATTTGATGGTCTCAACTAATAATCTTTTTAGATTGCAATGTGATGTGAGATAAAATGGAGTTGTTGACAGAGCTCATCCCTTGACTAGAGATTCAAAATAAAAACTTAAATTTCACTTGAATAAATGAAACTTTTTTTTGTTAAGGTTTGTTTAAGTATTGATTATTGGGTAGTAATCATAATTATGTTTAGGTATTAATGATAATTATACTTAAAGTGTACAATTAATTTAATTCAATAAATCACAGAACAATATCATAATTTAATTCAGCTGAGATGTCAGTTTCACTAGTTTCCCTAAATTTGAGCTTGAACTTTGATTCAGCTGGTTATACCAAACCCAAACTATTGGGCAAAACCTATTTTTATAATTTAATTCAATAAATCAGAGAACAATATCATGTAGTACTTAATTATTTAAGCCTATGTGCCAAACACCCAAAAAGAGAGTCAATGACATAATCGATTCTTTTTTTTGATAAGTCAATGACATAATCAATTCTTAGAAGTTTATTGTTAGAAGTGTTGGATATACACAATACTTCTATTTCTGATTTTACTTGTCAAATTCTATGTTTTTTTCCTCTTTGCTGAGGTTTTTGAGTTTGTCTCTTTGTCCTTACCTCTAGTTATTTCTGGATTAGAGTTTGGATGCTTCTATCCTTACTCTATTAGGTGCTTTTAATTTTCTGGGGGAATGCCCTCTGTGCTCCTGTACATGCTTTTCCTTTTCTTTTATACAACCACATTTATGAAGAAAAAAAAGACATAATCAATTCTTCTTGTTGCCTTAGCACCAAACACATCAGCAGATTAAAACTTTTTCATTCCTCTCTAGTTCAAGTCTGATTCTTCTTGTATTGCAATATTTCTTGTTCATTCTGTTATTTTGAAAATTGTCTAAGATTACCATAGTTAATATGAAGAAAGTTACCACATTGCCTAGCATGGAATCGCAAGGATAACAATTTGGTAGGAATGGGCCATCAGAATATGGAAGAAAACTAATTTTCGAAGTGAAAGAAAATACAACCTAACCTCCTAACTATCTAATTATTTTCCCATCATATTCTCTTCTCTGTCATTGCTAGGTGCACTGGTAAAACCTCAAGCAATCAAGTATCCACGAAAATGTTGGTTAAAGTTGGTTTAGATCTGTACCTAGTTCAGTTTCTAAAAACGAAATATATTACATCGTTTACTTCACATTTCAACATTATTTTCCAAAGGTCCTTCCGACCATCGCCAAGAAAACAATCTTTTATAAACAAATTCATCTGATCTCAACAATATTTCAGTGAATGGAGAGGGCAGTATAATACTCAAATATCATAAATATTTGGTGAAAGGAAATATGTTTTTTGCTCAGTTTGACGTCAGCCTAAGAAAGAAATGAAAGGGTTCTAAAGACATTTGTTAGTACCTGAGATTAACTGTTCCTTTCTTCTGGAGAATTAGTACTTACTGAAGACCGGCATTTGGCAGGTGATGGGTTCAGCAAGCATGGAGGGCTCTGAAAATTCTTTTTCCCAAGGTTTTTTGAACACTGCACGAACCCGAGGTTCCAGCCTCTTTTAACTTTGGTTTCTGACCTATCTATATTGTTATGGAGATAGGCCATCATTGTCATTTAAGAGTTTTCACCAATAGTCTTTGCAGGAACATAATCCGTTCTTGAAGTGATGAAATCGAACTCTGTCCCTGACAATTATCTCTCTATCATATGCTTTGGAGACGAACTTGGTGAATGTATGGCAATCTTTACAAACTCTCAAGTTCTTAACAATCCGAAGACTCACTCCTTGTGGCATTCTTGCCAATCCAAAAGCAATTGCCAACTTCTCACTATGATAAGAATCAAAATTTTCCACACACTCTCCTGCAGTAGATTCAGGAATTGCCGCCATTGAATCTCTCACATAACCAACCAAGGTGGCCTTATAAATTACCTCCTCCAACTTGTGATAGATTTCTTTTGAATCAGGATGTGAATAGTCATCCACAACAAATCTATGAACTTTTTCACCAACTTCAATCGAACTCCAGCCCTGTCTAGTCTTTATGCCTTGGCTTTTAATCATTTTTCTCATCTTTACAACACCTTGTGAGTCTTTGGATTCAGCATATATTCCAGCAAGAAGTATGCAGTCTCCGGCACTCAGTGTCCAAATCCGAACAAGGTTTCTCATCGCAATTTCTCCTTTTGCCACATCTTTATGAATCTTGCAGGAACCTAACAAAGTTCTCCATAGGATTGGATCGTCCGAGAATGGAGAACTCTCAATAATTTCAAGTGCCCTTTCAAGCTTTCCGGCTCGTCCAAACAGATCCACTATGCATCCATAATGCTTAATTTCAGGCTTCAAATTGAATTTGCAGCTCATCATGTGGAAATACTCAACACCCTCCTCAACCAAACCGAGGTGACTACAACCACACAACAAACCAAGAAATGTGATTGAATCTGGCTTGACTCCTGCCATCAACATTTGATTGAAGAATGATATTGCATGATCTCCGCAACCATGCGCTCCATACCCAACGATCATCGAGTTCCAAGTAAACACATCTCGCTTTTGCATCCCATTGAAGACACTAGAAGCACCATCCAAGCTTCCACATTTAGCATACATATCTACAAGAGCATTCCCAACAAAAATATTGTCCAAGAACCCATTGTCACTGGCCAATCTATGCATTTGAACACCAATACTCAACGCACCCACATGAGCACAAGACGAAAGCAAGCTAACGAGGCTAAACCCATCAAAACCCACATTCAAATTTCTCATTCTATCATATATCTTCAACGCCTCATAGTGCAAACCTGCCTGGGAGTAGCACGAAATCAAAGAATTCCAAGACACCAAGTCTCTTTCGGGCATTTCATCGAAAAGTTTCTGCGCAAGTCCAATCAAACCATTTACTGCATACAATCTAATGAGATTGGTACAAACAACAATGTCCAAATCATACCCAAATCGAATAATCGACCCATGAACCTCTCTGCATTTGATTTCGGCCTTAACTCTCTCACAGGCTTTGAGCAAGAACGAGAAAGTGACACTGTTGGGGCGAGAATGGGAAGAAGAGACCATGTCATTGTAGTATAGAATGGCTTCGAGAGGATTTGGGCTCTGAGAAAAGCCTCTGATCATACAATTCCAAGCTTGGGGTTGTGGGTTTTGAATTTGATGGAAGATTTGTTGAGCGTAGGATAAGGAGGCTGAGAGAGAGATAGCAGTCAAGTTGAGGAGCGAATTTGAAATGGAGGGATGGTTTTGGTATCCGTTAACGATGACCTGAGAATGGATTTTCTGTAACATTTTCAGGCTGTTGCATCCATGTAAGAGGGAGAGAATGCAACGGGTTTTTGACATTTGGAGCTGATCTGAAGTTAGATACTGTATGGGATGAGAAGGGCCAAAGCGTTAATAAACTTGTAAAACATATATTTTCAAATTGAAAACTAAACTTCCAAGTCTTTAATTCGTCTTTAATTCTTATTAATAAATTATTCAAGCATCACATCAAAACAATATTATATATATGTATGTAGAAACAAAAACTAAAACAAAATATAAAACATGAATAAATAAACATAACCAATAACTAAAAATGCCAAGTAAAATTTTAGAACAAGTAAGAGTTTGTTACCTGATGACTGAGGAGGCATGTTTCTTGAACCTTATTCTTGCTAAATGTTAAGACCCGATGCTAACCCTAAAAATAAGAAAGCACTCAAGTTGTGAAGAAGAGATTTCACAATCTCACTCATAACAATTAAAACACCACCATCTATCTATATCATGTATCAACCCAATTATACTTTCAGTCAAAATGTTGGACACCTATCCGTAGAAAGAGGTGTGATTACGGATAGGTGTGATTAGCACATATTATACTCAGCTCTTATGTTAAATTAATCCAATAACAAAGTACAATGCTTCAGTTTAGGAATAATCTTCAAAATTAACGAATTAATATCCTGATATTCTGCATTCTAATAACAAAAGAAAATCAAAAACCAAAATTTGAAAATAAAAATATGGCAGAAAGATTGAATATATCCTCCATGCATTACACAGATTGTATTTATATGTGAAACAAAACATCCAGAATTTCTCAATGGGGTGGGCTAAATCAAAATATATCAATCAAAATCAACTGTTGTTTAATTCAATTTTAGTTAACTAACAATGTTTCCTTAGACAATTGACTGATTAAGCCATAGAAAATCCTATTTGGGTAATTAATAAAAAAATTACCAATTTATTTCTGAACAATTCACCACTCAGTACCCTATCTCTTATTTTGACCAATTTACTAATCCTATTTGAGAATCGACTAGTGGAAGCAGAGTGTGAGGTAGTTCATGGCAAGCCCCTTCCAACACTATGGAATTCACTCAAAAGCATGCTTTTGTAAGTATTTTAATTTTCAAGAAGTAACTTTAGAGCTTTACCCTATATTAATTACTTTTGCTTGTCAAAGTTCTTGTTATGTTTTTTTTTTTTTTTAGTTCCGGAAACATTTCCATCTTCAAAAAGCTTGGCATGTTGATAAAAATTGTTTCAGATTCAATCTCTACAGATTTGTAATCCAATTCAAATTCTTTTTTTTCTTTTTTCTTTTTACTTTTTTCATGCCCAGATTCAAATTTTCTTGTAGACATAATTGACAAAAAAAAAAAAAAAAAAAAACAGAAATAGAAGTTATAGAAATAAATAAATAAATATATATATATACATATATATATATATATATATAGATTTGTTTTGCTGAAATAAAATGTAGATTACGGTGATTACCTCAAAATGCAATGCAAAATTTGTTACTTTATATTGTAAAAAAAATATTATTTAAAAAAGATCATAAAAAATTTAACCAACTAGGATTTAGTTTGCAAAACAATAATTACAGAGCTTGATTAGTTGATTTAGAAAAAAAAAAAAAAAAAAATTAAAACAAAACCCATACATACAAGTTAGCAGTTGCAGAGAGAGGGGGCAAGCTTGAGAGTTGAGAGACAGCGGACCAGCGGCTGAAGCTTGCGAACGGCGAACCCGAACTGGAACAGCGGACGATGGAAACTGAAAGAGATGGGTTTTGATTTTTTGAACAATCTGAAATGATATGCCGATATGGGTTTTGATATAGGTAATAGGTTTTGAACTTTTGATTCTTAGATAAAATGAAATATATGGGTTTTGAACTTCTGATTCTTGTAGATTTTGTAGTTTGCAGTTGCACAGAGAGAGAGAGAGAGAGAGGCGGGGCAAGTTTAGAGTCGAGAACGAGAATAGATATGGAGGCGATTGGGGAGGCTGAAATTATTTGTCCTAAACATTTTTTTGGAATGGGCTCAAGCCCACCCCTCATTACTCTTTATATAATATATATGTGTGTGTGTGTTTGATATCGCTGGCTTAATCAACATATATGATACATGAATGAATGTTGATTTATGTGAGAAGGTTGATATTATCTCGATGCCATTAATATTCATGTCACTTTTTACATAAAATTAATTAAATGTGCCCGATTGTCCGAATCTTTATTAATTGCTTTATATATATATCCGGCTGTATAAATGTGTGTTTGATATCACTAGCTTAAATCAACATATTGGGTACATATATTTAATGCATAGGAAGAACGTATGTATGATCATAATTTTGGGATTATATTCAACCATTTAATTTGATGGTTTCACCTAATAATCTTTTTGAATTGCACTGTGATGTGAGCTAAAATGGAGTTGTTGACAGAGCTCATCCCTTGACTAGCAAGAGATTCAAAATCAAAACTTAAATTTCACTTGAATAAATGAAACTTTTTTGTTAAGGTTTGTTTAAGTATTGATAATTGGGTTGTGATCATAATTATGTTTAGGTATTAATGATAATTATATTTAAAGTGTACAATCTTGGGTTCATGTTTTATTTTATCTTAATCTTTTGAACCAAGTCACTTACCAAAAATGGTATATATCCATTAATTTGGTAATCAATCAGGAATATACTATCACTAATGCTGTTGCTTTGGTTGATAGTGGTGCAGACATGAACTGTATTCAAGAAGGATTGGTCCCTACTCAATATTTTGAGAAAAATCACTCAAGGTTTTACCAGTGCAAGTGGTGGTAAGATGCAGATTAAGTATAAGCTTAATCACGTTTTTATTTGTAAACAAGGTATTTGTCTACCATCTACCTTTTTACTTATTAAAAATATGGCACAACAAGTTATTTTGGGCACTCCCTTTTTAGCCTTGATTATGCCAATTGAGAAAATTGATTTTCAAGGTATATGCTCAACTCTACAGGGTCAAGTCAATCACTTTTGAGTTTTTGACCAAGCCCGTGAATAAGCATATCAATGCTCTTAAAGATAGCATATCTTTAAGGAAAAACAACTGAATTATTTGCAAAAAGAAGTCTCTTCCTTAGCAATCAATCAAAGATTAGTACATCCCACTGAGCAACAGAAAATTGAGTCAATACGACAAAGTTTTCTAAAGGATATCTGCAGTGATGTTCCTAATGCTTTTTGGGACAGAAAGAAGCATATTGTTTCTTTGCCTTATGAAAAAGGATTTACCGATCTGATGATCCCTTCCAAAGCTAGACCCAGCCATATGAAGGCTAACTATTTGGAATTGTTCAAAATTGAAATTAGCTCTTTAATGGAAAAGAATCTAGTTACAGCAAGTTACTCCCCATGGAGTTGCAGAGCGTTTTATGTTAATAAAAACTCTGAAAAAGAACAAGGAGTTCCTCGACTGGTTATTGACTATCGACCACTCAACCTTACTTTGAGCTGGATTCGATATCCAATTCCAAACATTAAAGATGTGTTAGATAGATTACAATCTGCTGTAATTTTTTCTAAATTTAATCTTAAATCAGGATATTACTAGGTACAGATTGCAAAAAAGGATCATTATAAAACTGCTTTTTGTGTACCCTTTGGACAATATGAATGGACAGTAATGCCCTTTGGTTTAAGAAATGCCCCTTCAGAATTTCAACATATTTTGAATAACATTTTTAATCCTTATACTTAATTTTCTATTGTTTATATTGATGATACTTTAATATTTTCAAAATCAATAGAACAACATTATAAACGTTTGAAAATCTTGAAAAATGTTATTTACCGAAGTGGTTTAGTACTTTCTTCTCCTAAACTAAAAATTTTCCTCACCCAAGTAAGATTTCTTGGTCATGAAATTTATGTTGGAAAAATAAAACCCATTGACAGAAGTATTGAGTTTGCCTCTAAATTCCCTGATGAAATTAAGGACAAAACTCAACTGCAAAGATTTCTTGGTAGTTTGAATTATATTCGTAACCATTACAAGAATCTTGCACAGGATACAGCAATTTTATATACACGGCTCAGGAAGTCACCTTCCCCTTGGACTGAAGAACATACGAGAGCCGTCCAGAAGATTAAACTTCGTGCTAAACAGATTCCTTGCTTAGCCCTAGCAAATTCTTCATGGTTTAAAATTGTTGAGACAGATGCATCTAATATTGGATAAGGTGGTATTCTTAAACAAAAGAATCCAGAAACAGGAACAGAGGAGCTTGTTCGCTTGCTTTTTCAACTATGCCTGATCTTAATAGAATTGTCTATGATAAAAATATCCACTCAAATACAGCTCCTGCTCCGAGTAGATACTATTATCCTAGACCAACCCCTCAAGATATCTTGTATGAAGAAGATTATTTTCATACTCAGAATTCTTTCCATGGGAAAACCATTTATGAATGGAACATTGATGGTAAATCTGACTATCAGATTTATGAGGTTGTACATCAAATGTTAATGTACAGTCAAGTCTGTAAACTTAGCCACAACACTGATCCAACAATTGCCAAATTTGTTGTTGTTGGTTTTACAGGCATCCTTAAAGGATGGTGGGATAATGTTCTCACTGACATTCAGAAGGCCGAGATATTTTCAGCTGTCAAGATTGTCAAGGATGAAAATACTCAGCAAGAAGGCCCAGCTGCTGATGCGGTTTATACTCTCATCACCACAATCATTCAACATTTCGTTGGCCCAGAAGGAGCTAACAGTGAAAGGAGTAGAGAGTTATTACAGAACCTAAGATGTCCATCTTTAACTCATTTCCGGTGGTACAAAGATGTCTTCTTAGCCAAGGTTTTACAGCTTCGTGATACAAATCATGAACACTGGAAAGCAAAATTTGTGGATGGTCTTCCTACCTTTTTTGCTGAAAGAATCAGAAAGAAATTAAGGGATATGAACAATGGAATCTCTATCCCTTACAGGAACTATACCTATGGTGGATTAGTCAACATCATAATCCAAGAAGGTTTAGCTCTCTGTAATGATCTGAAGTTACAGTCTGAGTTAAAACAACAGAGACTAACAGGTAAAAAGGAAGTAGGTGAATTTTGTG